CTTAGTAATACATTTAAGAAAAGTAGTATAACATTTATAATCTGAAAACCACAAACTATTGTTGAAAGAAACTAAAGAAGACCTCCATAAAAGCTATCCCATGTTTATGGATTGGAAAAAGTTAATATTTTTAAGAAGACAATATTCTCAAAATCGAACCACAGATTCAATGCAATCCCTATTAAAATCTCAGCTGACTTCTTTGCAGCAGCTGAGTTTAAAAATTTGAGAGGGAATTCAAGGGACACAGATAGTTTAAAAATCTTAAAAGTGATGGACAAAGTTGGAAGACTCACAATTCTCAATTTCAATGCTTACTATAAACCTACAATAATAAAAATAGTATAATAGTCATAAGAAAAATAAAATCTAGATGGAATAGAATTGAAAGTCCATAAATGAACCCTTACATTTGTGGTCAATTAATTTTTGACAAGAAATGCAAGACAATTTCAATGAAGAGATACATTTCTAGAAAACACTACTTGTCAAAATGGACACTAGGGGAAATAAGAGTTAAGAATAGACCTTTCAAACTATTTAAGATTGAGTTGTTAAAAATTTTCCCACAAAGAAAACCACAGGGCCACATGGCTTTACGAGTAAAGTGAATTTGCTATTAAGAAACAAATAATACCAATGTGATGTATATTCTTTAATAAAAATAAAAATAGAAATACTTCCCTTCTCTAATGAGGCTATCATAACCCTACATCAATACTTCATAGAAGTATTATGAGAAAGGAAATTTATATGCCCATTTAATTTATGAACATAGGTATAAAACATATCGACAAAATGTCAGCAAACATAAAAGATATGTAAAAAAGAATGAGTAGGGTTTATTCTAATAATGTAAGTTTAGTTTATCATTGAAAAGATCAATATAATTTATTGCTTTACTAGAATGAAGGAGGAAAACCCTATGATCAACACAGTAAGTGCAGAAAACCTGTTTAATAATATCCACTTGGGATAAAACTTCTTAGTGAATAAGGAATATGAGGGAACCTTCCTTCCTTATCTGATAGAGGGTATCTATAAAAGTATGACAATATGATATTTAATATCTATCACTTTGAGATCAGTAATAAGACTATAATCTGGACTATTAAATGTCATATTCGACATTGTACTCAAATTTCTAAGCAGTATAGTAAGGCTAGGTAAAAGACACAAAAATTACAAAGACAAAACTGTCAGTAATTATATTGCATATATATTATATATATATATAATGCATATAGAAAACAAAAATGTTTTCAGTTAAATATTTAGAGTTGAGGTGTGAAAAGTAATTATGTAGATAAAAAGATCAATACATAGAAATCAGTTGTTTTTCTCATCACAACAAATAATGGAAAATTTAAATTTAAAAAGGTATCCAAGATAGTATAAAAAATCAAATATCTAAGAATTTCTCTAAGAATATATGTGAAAGGGATCTATTCAGAAAACCATAAAACATGATTGCAACAAATTAAGAATTCAATTGACCCTTTGAAAGTCCACGTACAAATTTTTACTTTCTCAAAATTTACTACTAATAGCCTACTATTGACTGGAAATCTTCTGATACCCTAAGCAGTGGGTTAACACATATTTTGCATGTGATATTATTATATACTGTATTTTTACAATAAAGTAAACTAGAGAAAAGAAGATTATATTAAGAAAATCATAAGGAAGAGAAAATAAATATATTGTACAAACACTGTACTATATTTATCCATAGGCTCCAGAGTTTTTTGGGAGTCTTTTTAAATTATTGATTGAAAAAAACATAAAGTTCAAACCTATGTTGTTCTAGGCTCAACTGTATAATCAAGTGGAAAAGTTTAGTAATTTCATAGATTGGGAAAGTTATTTTAAAAATACTATTTCTCCCCAAACTGATCTAATGCAATCCAATCAAATCCCATCAGGTCTTTGCAAAGTTAATACTACAGTTAATAAGTTAAAGGAGAATAAAATGAAAAATCATTATTCTACTGAATACCATGACTTTTTATAAATTATAGTAATTAAGGCAATGTAATATTGGTATAAATATTAACAAATAAATGATGCAATAGAAGAGAAAGCCCAGGAAAGACCCCTGGAAAGATGGACTATTGAATTATGACAAAAGAAGCCCTGCATACACCTTCCCACCCTCATACCATAAGAAAAACAAATCAGTCTTAGGTGAATCACAGATTTAAATGTGAAAGGCAAAACAATAAATACTTAGGACAAGTTTCTAAGCAGGACATCTATATATACAAAAGCCTAAGTGACTGAATGACTGAACGACCTGTTGACTGGTCACTATGATGTGCACTGACTGACTACCTGGGGGCAGACACTCAACACAGGAGCTGCCCCCTGGTGGTTAGTGCGCTCCCACAGCCAACCTCCTGGGGCCAATCGGGGCCAGCCAGCCAACCTCCCACAGTCCCTCCCCCTGGCCGGCTGGCCCCGATTGGCCATGATCACCCACCGGGCCAATGGACCTCATCCTTGCATGAATTCATGTACTGGGCCTCTAGTAAAAATATAATTATAAAAAGATAAATTTGCTTATATTTTATTTAGAACTTCTGTTTATAAAAGATACCTTTAAGAGCTCTAAGATGTAAGACACAAAATGCAAGAATATACTTACAAAGAGCTGGTAACTAGAAAATAAAAACTATTAAAAAACAAGAAAAATATAATATAGACAACTCATCATAAAAATGGGCAGAATAACTGGTACTTATCAAAAGAGGTTGTGCAAATGACAGATAACCGTGTGGAAAAGTGCTTAACCTCATTAGTCATAAAGAAAAGTCAAATTTCACCATGAGATAGTGCTATACACTCACCAGAATGTCTATGGCAAAAATCCTAGTAATATTCCAGTTGTCAAGAATGTAAAGAACTTGGGAAACTTATGCATTTCTGATGATGGTAAAAATTGGTACAATCAATTTAAGAAACTGGCAGTGTCTATTAAAACTGATCTCACAATGCCACTCCTGCACATATACCATATGGAAATGCATGCACTTGTGCACCAAGAGAAGTATACAAAATGTTCATGGTAGCAGTATTAATAGTCAAAAACTGGAAATTGTCCTGATGTTTATTAGTAGTAGAATGGATAAATAAATTGTGGTATTTACATATAATAGGAAAAAAACTACAGCTACTTGTAAAAGCATGAAAGAATCTTATATAATAAAAATCTAATATGCAAGTAAACTGAAAGGCAGAACAGCCAGCGGAATGACTGGTCACTATGATACGCACTGATTGCCTCTCCTGTTAGAGTGCTCCAATAGTATCTTTTTTAGGAGAAATGGCTGCCTGCAAGTTTTGGATGGAAATAGGGATGATGGCAATGATGATGATAATGAAAGTTTCTTTCTTTCTGTCTTTTGTTCAAGTTTTCTGCTAATACAAAACTTTCATTTTGCTGGCATGACCTCAATATGTCTGTATGCTTTTACATTAAACTCTTTAAACACACACACACAGAATCCACACCATGATTTAGGGAATTGGATGTGAGTGAGGGCTTTGCCTGGAACACAGCATCTACATGTGACCTATCATTATCATTATTAATGATATCCCTCAGGAAAACTACCCTTTTGTCCTATCTTGGCCATCGCTCTGTATAAAGCCTCCTAGAGAACACACCCACCACCTGACCCAGGCCATCCTGCGCTTTATTGGGTGTTCATGTTGACATCAGGAAAATGAAGAACTTGGATTCATTAAGCTCTTTCACTCAAAGAATTTCTGCCTCCGTGAAGTTTCTCCTCGTTTCCTCAAAGGCTGGGAGTTAGCGACCCCTGGATGTCAGCGGAGGTTGGTGCCAGTGTGTGTGGTGGTGGGGCGGGGGATGGGGAGAATGCACGGATGTTTGGCCCGTTTCCTCGGGAGGCAGAGTGTCATCTGCCTTTCCCTGGACAGAGGTGGTAGAGGTTAAGAACACCCGGTGAAACAGATGCCAGGGGCAGATGTTGTCTGATTTGGTCAAGGAACACAGCGTAAAACATTTGGAAATCCTCCATGGTGCCCGGGGCTGGGGGCACGTATGGAAGAGCAGAAACAAGCGTATCACCGTGATCCTCTTGGTAGAATCGCCTCATCGCAGAAAGGGAACATAATCGCCATTACAAAGGGGCCTGGATTTTGAAAGGGAATCTTCTGGGGGTGGAAGTTCGCCTGCACCAATTACGTGGGCTGTGTTGCTCAAGGTCCTCCATGGCTTTCAGCCCCAATTTCCTTATCTGTAAGATCTGACACGAGGCGCTAGGGCCAGGCGGAGTGGAAACTTATTAAACAAGAGCTGTTCCGATGGAAAAAAAAAAAAGAATCATTTCTTTTCTAATTCCTAAGACATCTTCAGGTTTCCTTGTGCTTTCTTAAGAATTCCCAAACACTTCAGCAGCTTTCTATATTGATTGTACTTACTGCCTCCCCTCCTCCTCCCACCCTGGCCCCTTAATTCCCCCCACCCCAGCCTGGGGCTGCGGATGGAAGGAGGGGAGACTGGGGCCAACCTGGCCCCCTGGCCCCCTGGCCCCCTGGCCCCGTGGGCCTGTCATGGCGGCCCAGCCCCAGCTTAGGTGATGATCTCAGCTTGCAGAAGGAGAAGAAAGGAATAGAGGGGGGCTGGGGGTCCGGGCGGCGCGCACACAGCCCCACCTGCAGGCCCGCAGGCAAGCCGGGCGGGATCGCCGCCCGCTGGCTCCCCGCCTCCAGCGGCGCGGGGCCCACTCGGACCTCGGGCTCCTCCTCGCGCCCCGGCGCCCACTTGAGGGGCTCGGCGGCCAAGCCAGGGGCGCAGCCACCAGAGCCCGGGGAGGACGCCAGTGCCCCGGAGCGCCCCCGGCCCGCTCGGGGCCCCACGGCACCCGGCGGACTCCCCGCCCCCTGCGCGCGTCGCCCCGCCGCCCTCGGCCCCCACCCACCGCTCCTCCCCTCTCCGCACCCTCCGCCCCCGCCCCGCCTCCCCCTCCGCCGCGCCCGCCGCTGGAGCAGCTCCGGAGCCGCCCGGGCCGGAGCGCAGGCGGCGAGGCCACCGCACCTGCAGCGCGCCCGGCGGCCGGACCCGGCACCTCGCCTCCCGCCTCCCGCCTCCCGCCGCCGGCTCCCGGGCGCGGGTCCCCCCGGACGCCCGGGCCCCCGATCGGATCGGCCGCGATGACCACTTCCCTCCCGGACGGCCCGGGCGCGGCGGGCAGGGCGGCCGCCCAGGTGTGCGGCGCGGCCCGGGGGAGGGGCGATGCCCGGGACCTGGCGCCGGGCCCCGGGCTGCCCGCGCGCGCGCTCCCCGCCCCGGCGGCGGACAGGTAGGAGCCTGCGGGCCCGGAGGGGCCGGGCCGGCGGCCGGCGCGGGGGCGAGGGGGTGGGCCGGGGGGGGGGGGCGGGAGCCATGTGCCCAGAGCGGGGCCAAGTTTGGGAAAGTCTCCGAAGACCAGTCCCTCGGAGCTGGCAGCCACCGGGGCGGCGGGACATTGCGATCTGGAGGAGCCTTATAAATAGCATCTTCGCTCCGGGAGAGCCCGGCTCTGCCCATCCCTGCGAAGCGGGAGGCCTCGCTTCAGGCTCACCGCCCACCCCCTTTATTCTTCCTGGCCCTGTATTTAAAATATAAATAAACAAACAAACAAATAAATAAATAAATAACGCTTTTTATTTTATAGATATTTAAAAATATTTTATTGATATTTTACAGAGAGGAAGGAAAAGGGATAGAGAGTTAGAAACATGGATCAGCTGTCTCCTGCACACACACCCCCCCCCACACTGGGGATGTGCCTGCAAACCAGGTACATGCCCCTGACCAGGATCAAACCTGGGACCTTTCAGTCCACAGGCTGACGCTCTATCCACTGAGCTAAACCGGTTTCGGCTTATTTTATAGATTTAAAAAGTCCTACCTTAAACGAGTTCACCTCCCACATAGAGTCTTACAGCGACCTGGAAGGAGAGAGAGCATGGATTGACACTTGAGCAGTGAAAGAATAGAGGCTTGGGAAAGGTCTCCCAATGCCATAGCATTCAGCACGAAGTGCCTTTAGAGTTCACGATTTTACACATGCTTTAGAAAAGGAAAGGGTTGCAGCCATACGCAATTCTCGAGTCCTTTACATGCATACATGTAATAGGTACTTTCTCCAGATTTTCAAAGTGCTTCAACTTCACTGAAGTTAAAATTACTTTCCAGTAGACTATTTACACTTGCAAGTTCTATTCACTTACCTACTCAAGCCTCGCGATTTGGTATCTATAAGTGCTTGAAAAGCCAGCAGACTGTGTGTGGGCAACATTGTGAATGAAATTTGAAGTGAGATGAATCACAGCTATAATTAATAAACCATAACTTCCAAAACTGATTAGTAAAATAGCGAGGGATGAATTCACTCTATTTTTTGTAGACTTTGTCAATTTAATGGATGCATAATAATGCCTAACTCCTAAGGGTGATTCTTGCATTCATAAATATATAGTATGTATTTGGGCTTCAAGGAAATGATCAAAGTGCTGGAAATGGGGTTTCTATGCCTGGTGACTTTTTATCCCCCCTCTTCCCAAAGGATAGGAAAACTATACATGATTGAATATTAATTAGCATTTTATCTTAACCCACAGAAGGTACATCACAGACGCTTGTCACCGAGTGGTGCATGTTAGCCTTAGCTTTTTAATTCTGACAGCACTTACATTTTACTTTCTGTTTTATGTAAATTACATCCTATGTTCTCTTGGTGTAGGAGAAAAAAGAAAGATCTTGATGTTCTGGAAATGTCATCTATTCCAAACCCTTTTCCTGAGCTATGCTGTTCTTCATTGACATCTGCGTTATCGACAGACCTGCTTCCCAAAACAAACTCAAGAAAAAAACAGGTATGCATTTTAAAAATCTAATTAAAAATTATCGGGAGTCCTAAATCTGTACAGTCTTTACAATGCTCAATAACTTGCAATATTAATAAAGGCCTATTTTATTTTTATTTATTTATTTTTAAATAAATAAAATTTTATTTTTATTTAAAAATTTTTTTTAAATTTTATTGTTTTTTTTTTACAGAGAGGAAAGGAGAGGGATAGAGAGTTAGAAACATCGATGAGAGAGAATCATGATCAGCTGCCTCCTGCACACCTCCAACTGGGGATGTGCCCGCAACCCAGGTACATGCCCTTGACTGGAATCGAACCCGGGACCTTTCAGTCAGCAGGCTGACGCTCTATCCACTGAGCCAAACCGGTTTCGGCTAAAGGCCTATTTTAAATAAGTCTATTGACTGACATAGTTCTTTGGCATTATTTGCCCGTAAGGCTTCAGTTTTCACAGTTGTATAATGGGAATGTTGAAGCTTACCTGTCAGGCCTGGCCAGGTGGCTCAGTGGTGGAGCTGTGACCTATGAACCAGAAGATCATGGTTTGATTCCCAGTCAAGGCACATGCCCAGGTTGTGGTCTTAATCCCCAGTGTGGGCCATGTAGGAGACAGCCCATCAATGATTTTTCTCTCATCATTGATGTTTCTCTAGTTCACTCTCCCTCTCCCTTCCTCTCTGAAATCCATAAAAATATATTAAAAGAAAACAAAACATGTAGCTGTCAGGTTTTGGGGATGGTTTAAATGACAAAATGTCTGTATGTGTAGAGTCTGAGAGCTTTTATTATTCACAGAGTAGGTGGAAGAGGTCTATGTGATACTAGATTATTAATTGTAGGTAAGGAATTGGAAAGGGGGTGATATGGGGATGTGAAGGGGATTGGCTGGTTAATATCCTTTTTAATCTTTCATATTTTCAACCCAAACCAACCTTATTTACTAAAGAAAAGTGATATAGTGGATCTGTGGCAAAGGTAATTGGAGTTTAGGACCCCATGTCTTCTTTATTTCAATTAATTCCTCTTACTGAAGGTAGGAAGGAGATGACTTGTAAGTGATCATTAGAAGGACTTTTATTTTATGACTAGAGGCCTGGTGCACGAAATTCATGCACGGAGGATATGTCCCTCAGCCCAGCCTTCACCCTCTCCAATCTGGGACCCTCAAGGGATGTCCGACTGCCCAGACATCCCTTTCACAGTCCAGGACTGGTGGCTCCCAACTGCTCGCCTGCCTGCCTTCCTGATTGCCCCTAACCACTTCTGCCTACCAGCCTGATCACCCCCTAACCATTCCCCTGTCTGCCTGATTGATGCCTAACTGCTCTCCCCTGCAGGCCTGGTCACCCCCAACTGCCCTTCCCTGAAAGCTCAGTTGCCCCCAACTTCCCTCTTCTGCAGGCATGGTCCCTCCCAACTGCCCTCCCTGCTGGCCATCTTGTGTCCACATGGGGGCAGCCATCTTTGACCACATGGGGACAGCCATCTTGTGTGTTTGAGTGATGGTCAATTTGCATATTACTCTTTTATTAGATAGGAGAGAGGCCTGGTGCATGGGTGGGGACCAGCTCGTTTGCCCTGTATGGTGTTCTGGATCAGGGTGGGGGTCCCCTTGGGACATGGAGCTGCCTGGGCAAGGGGCCTCTGGTAGTTTTCAGACCAGCCATGCCCCTCAGCAACCCAAGTGGAGACGCTGGTACCCTGTTTCTCCAAAAATAAGACAGTGTCTTATATTAATTTTTGCTCCCAAAGATGCGCTAGGTCTTATTTTCAGGGGATGTCTTATTTTTCCATGAAGAAGAATACAGTACACATTTATTGTTAAATGAAAATAAAGGAAATTTATTACCTGTATGCGGTACGGTAGTACGGTAGTTGTCAACACAAACCAGACAAACTGTGAATCCTACAGTATCAAGAATTTACTCATTTATTCAATGACCATCATGTCATCATCTTTTGGAACATCATCATAACAATTCAATTCCTGAATTTCCTGGTGAATTTCTTGTGACTCCATTTCTTTCAGAATCAGTGGGCCAAATCTCTCATGTTTAGCCTAAGGGGGGGCCTTATTTTTTGGGCGATGCCTTATATTTCACTCAGAAGGAAACCTGTAAGTAGGTCTTATTTTTGGAGGATGTCTTATTTTTGGGGAAACACAGTATCTGGGATTTATTTATCTTCTATAATTAAAACTTTGTAGCCTTCAGTAGAGGCCAGGGCAGGCTAGGAACTTGATTTCTTCCATCACCAGGGAAACCCAAGCTTCCTGTTCCCTCAGTGGCCACAGCCATTTTTGTTGGGATTTATCTTCTATAATTGAAACTTTGTAGCCTTCAGCAGAGGCCTGAGCCAGCCAGGGTGTGCAGGAAGCTTGGCTTCCTCCAACACTGGTGAAACCCAAGCCTCCTGTTCGCTCTGTGGCTGGCAGCCATTTTTGTTGGGATTTATTTATCTTCTATAATTAAAACTTTATAGCCTTGGGCAGAGGCCAAAGCAGGCAGGGCTGCGGAAACTTGGCTTCCTCCATTGCCAGGGAAACCCAAAGCTCTTGCTCTCTCTGTGGCTGTAGCTATCTTGGTTGGGTTATTTGCATACTCACTCCTGATTGGCTGGTGGTTGTGGCTTGTAAGTGTAACAGAGGTATGGTCAATTTGCATATTACTATTTTATTAGATAGGATTTTCTTTCTTTATGAGTTTCTAGCATGGTACCAACTTAAGCAAATTAGATTTCAAGATTGAAGCAACTAGGGGAGATCCATCACGATTACATATTTCCAAAAGAAAACAAAAAAAAATTACTCTATTCTAGAATAATTATATCTTTTCTTAACATTCTTCCCCCAGTTCTGAACCATGAAAACAAAGAGAGGCTTCACTAGGCAAAATGTATCTTGTTCTTGTAGGATAGAAGCAATACATTTAAACAGTCAGATGCTTGTAATGAGGAGAGAGAGGCTGTGATCATTTTTTCCCATCTGTTGTTTCCTTTTTTTTTCTGCACTTTTACTACCTGTGATGGGTTCAGTAATGTGTGTTTATAGTTTTAGGAGTGGAGGAAATACCATCGGAAAGAGATGAATCCTTGTAACATATAGTAGTAATGCCATCCATGGAATGTTGTGTTTTGACAAAAGTCTGGTATAACAAGGCATATACACTGAGTGGCCAGATTATTATGATCTCTGAACACATAATAATCTGGCCACTAAGTATATATCCTATATAATAAAAGGCTAATATGCAAATTGTCCCCTCGACCAGACCAGGAGTTCGACCAACAGGCAGGCCAGCCAACCGCCCATGTCCTCCCCCTGGCCAGGCTGGCCAGACCCCACCCATGCATGAATTCATGCACCAGGCCTCTAATATATATAATGAGTGGCCAGATTATTATGCATTCAGAGATTATAATAATCTGGCCACTCCGTGTATATTTTTCTTTGGTGCAGGGGAGGTGAAATTTAATTGGTGCATGTACCTTTTGGTTAAGGACTGGAGACAGTGGGAGTAAACATTCCCAAAGCAAACCTATGTTAGGAGTTATTCCTTAAGCGGTGGGCTGAGACTTTGGATGGGGAGATGAACAAGAAAGAGACTCTCTTGAGAACTTTATTGTAGAGTGAGGTTTAAAGTAAGAGCCCAAGGGAAAAATGCCATTCTGAAATGTCTGGGCCCGTTGAGAGCTTGGCTTTTGAGGCTATAAAATGGAAGTGTGGATGATAGAGTTGACTGTGTGTCTTGCTGGTGGAAAGAATTGATTCTGGATTGTCCATGTGACCCAGAACGGGAGAAGGAAACGTCTGGTGGAGTTTCAGAGCTCTGCCTGTTCATTGTGCCTAGGCTCCAAGACACTGAGCTAAGCAAAAAGGCCATCTAGCGGGTGTTTACCAATGTGGGGCTTTGATTTGGGGTTGGATTAATTTTGTGAATGGATATAGAGAATGCCCGTGTCTAAGAGATGCATCGGTGGGGCAGGTTTCTTTTGAATAGAGGGAGAAGTATTGCTTGTTTATGTTACTAGAATAAAAAGAGAAAGAGTGGGTGTGGATGTGAGGGTAAGCCAAGGTGTGCCCTACGTGTGAGTAGTCATCATCCTAGAGTAAGACATCTTATCTTGGGGAAGGACATTTCTTCAGATCAGGCTTAGCAAATGGCGCGATGGGATGAGGGTACTGTATTACTGTCTCAGACTGATTTCCTGCTCAGGCCTTGTGCCCTGTTTCCCCAGTGACCTCCTCAGAGAGCTCCGCACCCATAGACAGCTGTGCTGTTTCATGAGCGGAGTTCTGGCCTGAGTCCTAGAGACCGGTCCCAGAGGGGCGCTCCCTCCAGAAAGGGCACTTCCTGCTGATCTCTTCCTCCAGCCCAAGTGTTGGGGTCTCTAAGAAGAGAAAGGCTGTCCCAAGGTGGAAAAAGGAAAGGTACTTTTTCACATATTTTTTGTTTTCTTTTCCCTACTGTGACTTTGCCTTTAGAACTTACCCTTTGTTTTTATTCCTTTGTATAGGCTCAGTTCTTTAGAATGAGCGAAGTTTGGGGAATGCATGATTCTATGTTAGTGATTTCCCCAAGATCATTCAGTATCTTGGTAACACAGGTTACCCTTTTACAAGATGTTAATTTGTGGACCAGTTGTCTCTGAACTTTGGTTGAGATGATGCAAATGACAGTATGGAATAGGGACTATTGAATATTGCACATGGGTAAAACGTTCTAGGAAACTATGTATCTTCTTTATATTCTCTCTTTTGGTTTGCTTAACTATTCCTGTCATTTTAGCAATTATTTCTCCCATTAGAAATGCTAAATTTTATGTGGCTTTTCAAAAGCAAAATCATTTTACAGGAGATATATATATATATATATATATATATATATATATATATAGTTACAATTTGAGTTGCCTACATAATGCATGAGTGCTAAACTGCCATGAAACCACAAATAGGATATGCCTTATCTCTTTTTGCAAATACAATATCCCAGAGTATTCAGTAT